TGAGATCTTAAATATTGATAAACTATTTTCAAATACTAACATATTAAGTTTATTAATTTTCAAAACAATCATGATAACTACAAAAAATATCATTTTAAACTAACGATTTTATGGTTAAAGAACTAAAAATATACTTAAATAAATTATACATTTGGTTCTTTAATTTTATATAAGGTTTCAATTTAGTCCACTAACTTGTAAAAAAATATCTTTTTGATTCTTTGATCATAACACCGTTAGGCTTAAATGATGAACACTTTAATTTGTTTTGAAAATTTAACTTAATATATTCACATTTGAGAAAGTTTTATCAACATTTATAATCTCAATATTATCATTTATTGTTAACAATTTTAAAGTCAAAGAATAAAAACCACACTCTTTAAAATTTAAAATTAAGAGACCAAATTAAACTCTGTATACTTTAACCAATATATTATTTAAAGTTAAGAAACTAAACTAAAGCCTCATGTAAATTTAAATGATGAAACGTAGATTTTAATCAAAAATAAAACAACTCCTGATAATTTATGGGAAAATGACATTAAGGTCCCACACAAGCAAATATACAGCAAAAAGGTCTCCTGAAATGTGATAATTCTTCTGAAGTCCCAAAGGGACTAGGCTGCCATTTTCAGAAAGTTAAAATGACTTCCTTGCCCTAGTATATTAGAGATAGAAGGCGCTGAGATGAGTTTCCCGCATAGTGTGGCTCTGTTACGGCTGGAAGAGAGGAGATGGAGAAAGAAGGAATGAGCCATTGATAATGAAGTATCTTTCCCATTACCATTAGTGAAGTCCAAAGAGGTTCCATTTGAATCTTTACAAATCTTCAGGTCTGGAAATTTCTTTCCTCTCCTCTTCTGGAATATTTTTCTTGACAGATTGATTGTGTTTAGGAATGAGAAATCAGAAAATCGTTTTTGCCTTTAGTACTGTAAAGCTTTTGTTTTTGGTCTAAGATGAACAAGTAAATTAATGGAAAAACTGTGTTTTTAGTTGGTGTGTGTTGGTGATTTAAGTTGGGTGTGTAAGATGACCATGGTTGCTCTGTTTTTGGGTTGCTTGTGGGTGGTTTTGCTCTGTTCTGACGTTAGTTTAGGGGCAAAGGAAGGAAAAGATGAAGATTAGTCTGGGTAGAAACCCTTAGCATGAAATGGGATATTGTGCTATCAATCAGGCCGCGATAGTTGTCAATGTGTGCCGTGATAGTTGTCAACGTAGCTCCTTGACTTGTCAATGACAGTTGCATGATTCTTAATGCAGGTTTAAATTACTGATGACGAGTATGCCTAGAAAGCATCTATTGTGCTTTGTTCATATAGGAGGAAAGTTTATAAATGATGGAGAAGATGATATATGTGGGAGGTAGTGTAAGAACAACAACTATAAAGGAGGGAACAAGTTATGAAGAATTGAAAGAAATTATATCATCAATTGTTAGAAAAGAAAGTAACTCATTTCTCTTGAAATTCTCAGTTGTGTTTGATAAAAAAATATTTGTGGAGTTGGTAGATGATGATGGGGTAGAAAATTTGACAAAATTCAATGAAGAAAGTGGTCATGTGTATGTAGAAGAGAATGAAAATAAGGATCACATAGAAGCAACAAGGGATAATGTAATAGAGGAGCAAGATGTGTAAGTTTAGTTTAACAAAACTGTTATTATCAATATCAGTTGTTACTGTCTTACTACCAACTTGTCAATGCATGCACCCTGACTTGTCATTTCCTGCAGGATTGATTAATCATTTGGAGGTATCAATGGATCGTCTATGTCTCTACCTACCTCATTTGATGAGATTGGAGAGCCATCATCAATTCTTTGTGCTGTTGAAATGATCACAACACCTACACCACAAATGAATTCCACAAAACGGAAGGATTTGATTATTGGAGAAGGACAAATATTTCCAAATGCCATTGCCCTCCGAAAAACATTATACGGATGTGAAGAGAATATTTTGTAAATGTGTGTGAAGAGAATTTTCTGTAAATGGATACACACCAATAGTTAGTTTCGTAATTATATGCAACCCCTATGTTTTTTTTAGATGGGTTGTGAAATAAGTGTAAGTTCATGTATATGAAGGTGTAAATGAAAGTTGGTTATGAATTGGCATGTTAGATTCTGCTATCATTTTAGTTGTCATTACCTGCACCCTGTATTGTCATTAGACCTGTTATGACTTGTCAATGGAGTACTGTGACTTGTCAATTAATGCTAATATAAGTTGTCAACAATATGAATTCAAGTTACTTAACCTGTTGTAGTATCATATGATATTTTCAATCACTTTATCATATTATATTTTGGTTATATTGTCATATATAATCATTATTAATGAAGTGTCAATAGTGACACTATGACTTGTCAATGGTCACACTGTGACTTGTCAATGGTGGCACTGTGACTTATCAATGGTGGCACATTGACTTGTCAATGGTAACTGTGACTTGTTGTTCGCCGAATAACTTCTTAAAAGGGTTAGGTGCTGTGACGGATATAATCAGGAGCCGCGGCGTCTTACACAGAATGATAGCTCCTTGGGATAGATGGGGGAGCCGTGACGGATATGGTCAGACGCCACGGCGAATTATCAGTTGTCAATGGTGGCACATTAACTTGCCAATGGTGGCACTATAACTTGTCAATGGTGGCACTATAACTTGTCAATGGTGACACTATGACTTGCCAATGGAGCACTGTGACTTGTTAATGAAGACACTGTCCCTTATCAATTGAACATAACTTTGAGTAACACTTTCTTCTTAATAATTATATTTTAATACAAATATTACTTAACATTATAAATAAATGACCCCTTCAGTTGTAAAAATTTTGAATATCAATTGTTAATATCCACACATTCATTTGTTATGAAATTGTTATATCACTTGTCATTAACTCCTATTATATTAATTGTTATTTTGGATAACTCAGGTTGTTAATTTCTACGCTGAGTGTTGTTGAGCTATACACAACTAAGAATTTCAAAAGAAATGAGTTACTTTCTTTTCTAGCAATTGATGATATAATTTTCTTCAATTCTTCATAACTTGTGCCCTCCTTTATATTTGTTGTTCTTACACTACCTCCCACATATTTCATATCATCCTCTCCATCATTTATAAACTTTTTCCCAATGTGAACAAAGCAAAATAGATGCTTTCCAGACATATTCGCCATCAGTAATTTAAACCTGCATCAAGAATCACGCAACTGCCATTGACAAGTCAAGGAGCTACGTTGACAACTGTCGCAGCACATATTGACAACTATCGCGGCCTGATTGACAACACAATATCTCATTTCGTGCTAAGGGTTTTTACTCAGACTAACCTTCATCTTTTTCTTCCTTTTCCCCTAAACTAACGTCAAAACAGAGCAAAACCACCCACAAGCAACTCAAAAACAGAGCACCCATGGTCATCCTACACACCCAACTTAAATCACCAACACACACCAACCAAAAACACAGTTTTTCCATTGATTTACTTGTTCATTTCAGACCAAAAATAAAAGCTTTACAGTACCAAAGGCAAAAACGATTTTCTGATTTCTCATTCCCAAACACAATCAATCTGTCAAGAAAAATATTCCAGGAGAGGAGAGGAAAGAAATTTTCAGATCTGAAGATTTGTGAAGATTCTAATGGAACCTCTTTGGACTTCACTAATGGTTATGGGGAAGATATTTCATTATCAATGGCTCCTTCCTTCTTTCTCCATCTCCTCTCTTCCAGCCGTAACAGAGCCACACTATGCGGGAAACTCATCTCAGCGCCTTCTGTCTCTGATATGCCAGGGCAAGCAAGTCATTTTAACTTTCTAAAAATGGCAGCCAAGTCCCTTTGGGACTTTAGAAGAAGTATCACATTTCAAGGGACCTTTTTGCTGTATATTTGCTTGTGTGGGACCTTAATGTCATTTTCCCATAATTTACCATGACATGTGCTTTTTGTGCGTGTACTGTGTAGTTTGTTCCTCCTGAATGAATTTTTACTTTAGGCCAAACTCCTAAATGAATTTTTAAACTTAGTGTTTTTTTTTTGGGCTTAAAAGAAGTAAGAACCCCTTTTAATATAATAAAAACATTTATAAAAGTATATACTCCTCCTCTCCTAAATATAAGATCCTTGTACATATTAGTATAAGGGTCTTATATTTAGGACCAGAAGAGTTGTATAAAGATCTTATATTTAGGATCGGAATAGTACTATTTATAAGCCAAAGAATGAGGTTTTCTAAAAATTAGTACAATTTGCTTTTGGAAAAATTACAATAAGCTCCCACCCAAGAGAATTAAATATAAAAAGAATCTTAAAATTATCAAATTATTCTGAAGTCCCAATAGACCTTATTGCAAGAAATTTTATCTGTTTAATTACCAAATTATCTTTTTTTTAAATATATATTGACAACTAAAAAAACAGTCGTTAACAACTTAAAATATAACAATTAACAATTGTTACAGCAAGTATTAATAATACATTTTTTTAGTGTATCACAAAAATATAATGCATGAGTTATCAATGTTTACTATGGTAATTATTAATTGTTATACTTTAAATTATTAACGATTATACTTTCAATTATTAATACATATTTTTAAAAAATATATATATAAAAGTAACTTGCTAATTAAACAAATAGAGTTTCTTCTGATAAAATCTTTTAAAACTTCAAAATAATTTGATAATTTCAAAAAATCATTTTGTATTTAATTTTTTTGTAAAACCTTACTGCAATCTTTCTTCTGCTTTTTTTGCCCATGCCTGGAATATTTCACGGAGCTTGGACAATTTTTTATTTATTCTTTTCGTACAGTTATCATAATCTCAGCAAGGCCGTACTCGTTGTCTTTTCCTCTCTTGTGTACAGTTTATCAACAATGTCTACAACCTTCACTACAGCGTGATAATCAGCCTCCTCAACTCACAGTATTTCAAAGAAAAATAGAAGACTCTAGTGAAAATACAAAACAGGACAGACAAAAATAATCCAGTTCATTCAAATATATTTTTTAAAAAAAATTAAAAATTTAAATGAAGGACACTTCATGCCTCCCAATTCAACAAATCATGTACTTCAAATAAGAGCTATGAGCTATACTACGCTGATAACTATAATAAGCATGGCAAAATTAGAATGGAATGCGAACCATTATTATCTCAGAGTTAAAGAGCTGATATTCCTATCCAGGCTTTGTGACGTAAAACAAAAATTGTTTAATAAGGTCTAAATTTCCTTGAAGCTCTCAGCTGCTGCAGCCGTTTTTTGTCCTCTTCAAATTTGCTTTGCAACATCATGATCTCTGATAGCATGAAGAAAACACAATCTTCAGGTGCTTGTAAAAATATGTAGTATTAAATTTCAGACAATTTTTTGAACAAAATTACAATAAGGTCCTACCCAAAACAATTAAATACAAAAAAATCGTTTGAAATTATCAAATTAATCTGAAGTCTTAAAAAATCTCACTGCAAGAGATTCCACTTATTTAATTACTAACTTGTGCTAATCTTTTTTTTCAAGTATGCATTGATAACTAAAAGAGCAGTTGTTAACAACTTAAGGCGTAACAGTTAACAACTTTAAGCGTAACGGTTAACAACTATCGTAACAAATATTGACAACTCATGCGTTACATTTTTATAATGTGCTAAGAAAATGTGTTGTTATTACCTGCCCTATAGTTGTTAATCGTTACGCATTAAGTTGTTAATCACCGCTCTTTCAGTTGTCAATGAATATTAATATATATATATATATATATATAAAAGCAGTTTAGTAATTAAAAAAGTGAATCTCTTACAATGAGGTCCCTTCAAATTAATTTGATGATTTCAAAGAACTTTTTCTGTATTTAATTCTCTTAGGGGGTCCTTATTACATTTTTTTTTTTTTGGGGTGGGGGGGGGGGGGGGGATGGATAACCATAGAATGAGGGGGAAATCACAAGCATGATCACGCATAATAACACAGGGAAAACAATGATTTCATTTTAATCTAGACTTAGTAGTTCTTCTATATTTAAATGAACATTACTGAGTGACCGCTTTACCCCAAATGAAACAAATTTTCTGGAACTTTAGTAGATCGTGAGGGGTAAATTGCTTTGGAAGACCTATTTGAGGCTAGCAACGTTCAAATTTAACTCGATAATACCATATGCTAGATAATCATATAAAAATATAGTAGGATAAAGAGAAAATAGTTGAACACTTAGAAGAGGCGGGTCATACCGTTTCTCTGGGCTTCTTTTTTCTGAAAACGGTAGAAATTTAGGGCAACTTCTTTATGCTTCTTCTTAGCAGCTTTTTGCTCCGCAGCAGCTTGGGCAACGGAACCCACAACAATTCCACTTTCAGAGTCAGTAGTTTTCTTCCTACCCTTATGGTGTACAACAACTGTCCATCCCCCTTCTGCAGCACGGGCTTCTCTTTCTTTTCTTTCCTGCAAGTAAACATGCCAAAATTATAAGAAAACTAAAACAATAGCTGAATATAAGTTGGGCCATTCATATGTATAAATTTGTACAGGAGGCACTGTATTCTAAGCTTTCGCTCCCATAAACAAGAACAGGGTTGGAATTTCTATCTTGTGTTTGGACTTTGGAGCTCAGAAACGATTGAATTGAAATTGGGTGGGCTATAACAGAGTTAATGGTCATAGTATGGCAGGGATTACACAGTGAGGTCATCAGTAGTGATCACTCAGAGGGCCAGTGATCGGAGTGATGTCTCGCAAAAATGGCTAGTAGGCCTGCTTCAGTACAGGTATATTTTCAAGAGGATCTTATCCCTTTTTGGTCCTCCATGGATAGATAAAAAATCAACAAAAAGTTGCACTGCAAGGGCTAAAAAACACAACATCCACTTAAACACAAAAAGCAGAGAAGACAAAGAAGATTCAAGGGGTTAGAAGCAGAGCACCAATGCATCAAACCAAATGGAAGTTTCATATGCTTCATATGCTGTTCCTAGTTGGAAATGAACAGTACAGCATCATTCACCTCAAGCTAGATAATCCATATCTTAATAGAATGTGATGGCCTCCGTACTTTAAATCTACCATAAGAAACCCTCCAACAGCCACAAATACACCCATATAGATGAAGACATCATCAATACGCACAGGCAAACCCAAGCATGGGATCATCACAATCTGGGATCCTATTTTAAAGTCCTCCATCACGATGAGAGGGGAATATTCAGCTCTATATTCTACAGCTAGAATGAGTATCGGGATTGGCACTAATTTGTTAAGACGTTGATCAATATCAATTCAAAATTTCAAATAGCTACTTGAGTTCTGGAGATATGACATAGAGACAAAAATCTAAGTGAACATAATGACAATGATCAAAAATATAGAGAAGAAACTGCTTCTCAATATGATGCACTTTCTCCGGTGACAAATCTAGACAGATTGCACAACCGAGCAGTGACTCATACTAATAACGTACAAGTAAAATAGATGAGCCAGACTAAGAAAAAGATTCATGAAGTTCTATCACAAGGCATATAGATCCTCATCATTCAATCTTTTTGATTAAAAGTTTGTTAAAAACAACTTATTTATAGAAGATGAAAGATGAAGGACTAAAAGATTCAGAAGCATGTAAGCAAGGAAGGGGTTACCTCTTCTAGTTTTTCTTCATGGGCAGTTATAAAGTCATCAATTTGATCTTGCAATGCCTGCAAGCCTGGCCTACTTTGATGATATTCCATGATCCATTCTGTAGTTTAAGTAGTTCACAATCAAAAAATTATTTCAGAAATGACCATTAAGTCTACAGCATAAATTAGAGGGAAATAAAGACAAAAATTAACAGAGATTTCTCCATGGAAGTTAACTATTAATAAATATACCAATAGCGCTGTGTAGTGTAAGCAACATGGAAATATACAAAATATATGGCTGCTTTGCATGCATGCATGTATCATGCAAATAGAAGTTTCAGATGCAGTATATTTGCAACTTTTGAAATGTAAAATGATGCTTGTGATTGAACTATTACTTTTCATTCCTTTCGAGCAATCCTCATCTCCAGAAGAAATAGTATAGATCTCATCTTGTTCAGTAACTCCTCCGTTTTCTCGTGAGTTCAGAACCTCCTTTACAGAATGTGCTTCCTTCTTTCTCTTTTTCTTTGTTTTCTTAGACTTACCTACAAGATAAGGAAAAACCTCATGACAAAGATGAAATCGCTAACACCAGGAGTGTTGTTTCACAACACCAAAAAAAATCAACCAAGAAATGTTTTTTTACTACGAGCTTGAGTTGTTAGTCCAGCATCAATCTCTTCAGGCTCCTTAAAGTCTTCCGTCCATTGAGCCTCAGAAGAATTGTCCCCTACTCCATCTGATGAAAAAGGAAAAAAGCATGACAAACAGTATCATTAAGTCATAAACAACAGGGCAGTCACTGATACATTAAGAAGAAGAAAAATGTAGGGAAGGGGAACAACTGCAAAAGGGGGAAAACCACGTATTAGATGTTGAAATAGTTCACAACTCACCCCTATGCTCCTTCAAATCAACTTGAACATTTGGCCTTTGTTTATCAACCAGATTTTTTACTTTATTCTTTCTTTTCAGACTTGAAGATTTCTTCTTCTTCCTTTCAACCAGCATACTACTATCCTCTGAAACAACATATGCACACAGAAATAAATCAAATAATTTAGTTATAAAAGCAATGCAATTCTATTTAGGCAGCAAGATGATAGACACAAAGACCAAATAATATTAAACGAGGCATAGAAACATCTTCACCTTCGATTTTCATTCCAAGAGCTTCACCATCATCAGCAATTTTTCCTCTCTTTCTTTTCTTTTTCTTTTCTTCAGCATGTATACTGGTCTTGCGTGTGCCTTTCATCATACCAAAGCCAAAAACTACTTTACTGCAAACATGCAAACAAAAAAATCCAAAAACTGCTTCGAGTTATGTGTTACAGAAAAATTTAGAGTGCTAATATAACTCATGACAACACAGGCAAACAACATTAAAAAGAAAAAATCCATTTCTTATAATATATATAAGAAAAATCTACTTTTCCAGAATTGAAGCAAGGAGCCAAGGACAAGACCTGATTTTCAAGCATTAACAATGTATACAAATGACACAATCAATTCAACAAAAATCATCCAAAACAAGCAATCATTCAATCTATTAATCAATGTATCAGAGCAAAAATAATCAATCATTCTTCTAACACCATGGTCGAATAAAAAAAATAAAAATTCAATATCTAAAAGGCAGGTAACTGAGTTTACATAAAGCTCCCGATGAACTTCAAATTTGCCAATCTTGAATCGATCAGATGAAGGTCCCATAAGGCATAATGGAATGGAATGAGTTGAGAGTTGAAGAGAGAAGATAACTCGGAGCCCAACAGTTGAGAGGCCGGAGACGCCGAGCTGGGAGCCTGAGAGGCCGGAGACGCCGACGTTGGGAGCCTGAGAGTGAGACGCCGGCGGCCGACTGTGCGAGATCAGCTTGAGCTGGTCCGGGCCGTGGTCGACTCTCGACTGTGCGAGACTGGTGACAGAGGAAGAAGAAGTGTGCTGTTGGTGGTGGTCTGGTCTGTGGTAGACTGACTGGAGACAGAAGAAGAACCGGAGAAGAAACGAGCAGCGTGGTGGTGGTCTCTCCGGTCCGTAGTCGAGGACGACGAGCTAAGTGAAGGAGGGAGGCTAGGGCAAACCAAAATTTTAGTTTTCTAAATTGGGAAAATGGCAGATTTTATAAAATCGGAGAAATTGACAAACCTCGAATCAGCATTTGTTGCGGCACTCTGGAAATATTTAAGTAACCCCGGAATTATTATTTAGAAATATTTTTTTATAAATCGTGACACAGATTTTTTTACATATTTATTTTATATATTATAAAAATATTTTTAAAATTATAGTTTTGTTTTTATTTAAATATCTCTCTACCAATGTCCTCACAATCCCGTTCATATTGGGACCTGTCTCGAAATTTTTCAAGATAAGAGAAATAGGGACAAGACAAAAAAAAATTGGGACAAGACACGAGATGGATCGTCCTCTCCCGATAGTAACATTTTTTTATGTTTTTATCATACTATAATTACTAAATGTTAAAAATATAAAATATTTAAGACATGTGTAATATAAAATGTTTAGAGTTTTCATAGATGTTTATAATTTTTGGAATAGTGAAAATGAATTTTGAAGGTATTATGTTACTGATTATTATTTATTTGAGCTTTTATTTAAGATGGCTAAGCCTAAAGAAATAAAAAAAACAAAAAGATGCTTTCAAAAGGGTTAAGCCCAAAGAACTACAAATAAGAAAAGAAAAAAAAAATCAAAATCTATTGCAATAGGCGTAACCACAAGGTTAAAAAAATATTTACAGAAAAACAAAAAGGGACATCTTGGTTCCTTCCCATTCCAATTGAGACCAAGATAATACCAGGACGAAATGAGACACGAGACATATTTCACGTTCCATCCTTGTTCATTAAGGACAAGACCAGAACGAGCATGTCCCAGTCCCATCCTATCTTGTGAATAACTCTACTGAGAACAACTGACTTACAAATAAGAACCCAATTCTGTGAAAATTCTTAATATAAGATTTTGTAATTTTTACTATTTTTCATTTTTCTTTTTAAATTTTATGATCAGAATTTCACACTTACCACAAAATTCAGTTAGACTTTTTGGTTGGACTGTGCCGGTTGGGCTTAATTGAGTAGGTGAGTTCGGAATTTTGAAGTTGGATTTGGGTAGCTTATTAAACCAAATAACGAAGATTTGCTCAACACTTGAATAAGGTGTTAAAATATTTTTAAAATATAAGGAGAGTGCCCAACACTTGAAATTTATTTTGTTTTGCTCTAATATGTCTCAGAAGTTAAAAAACATAGTAAATTTATCCTGAAATTAGCAGCTCAAATGGTCAAATGTTAGTTGACCTCATTATACTGATGTGGCATACCTATTTGACATTCATCACAAATTTTATTCAAAGTCAAATTTATAAGCAGAAAAAAAATTTAAAAAAAATACGTATCGCTCATCTTCTTCTTCCCTCCTTCCCTTACACCGCCACTCATCTTCTTCCCTCCTTCCACAACGCTGCAGCTCATTATGTTGGTGTGAAGAGTGACAAGAAATGAGCTAGTCCCATCCACGGCAAAATACATTTAGATGCCTCATATTTTAGCAAAGCTTTCACTGTTTTCACTTTAACCGGCAACAAATCTCCCTCTTGATCCATTGAAACAATCTCTATTCTATCCACATGTCTCCAAACAAAATACCCACCCATTATGTTGGCAGGGTCACTGCCCTTTCCAAATTAAATAGCTATCAAGCTTCCAATTCCATCAAAGAGATTTTTCTGAGCATCTTAGAAGTTAACCCAATTATGAAATCTGACGTGTTGAGATCAAAATTGGTTGCTATAAGACAGGTACACTTGATGGTGATGAAGATGAACTTTAACATCCAGTCACTCTCATCACTAGCCTGTTTTGCATTAATGCCTCCTTTTCCTCCTTCTCCATCGTCCTAATCACTAACATTGTCGACGTTGCCATTGGCGCCATCTCTATAGAACTCGGTAGGTAATTTACTCTATCCTCTTTTTCCTTTTCGTTCTCATCGTTGGCCTTTCCTACATCAATGCTTCCATCTTTTCCTTCTCTATCATCCTCATCGCCGGCATCGCCCAAGTCGCCGTTGGCACCATGTGCATGGCACTCAGCAGGTACTTGCCTCCTCTTCTTTCTTTTCCTCTTTTTCTTTTTGCAATCTTCGATTTGTATTCAAAACTTGGCTCAGATTCTTCGTACTCTGATGGTTTGAAGAGAAAATGAAATGAAATATTTGTGCCATAAATGTAATGCTGTTAAAACTTGAAGAGGAATGGATGAAGGAATGAAGGTTCCGTAAGGAGGAGGCTTGGAGTTGAGATTCGAATAAATAGAAATGAAGGAAAAGAGTGATGGTGCTGACATGGTATAGCTATAGTTCACGTGGAGAATCAACTCAACATAATGGGTCAAACTTAACTTTTGATCGTTTGGGCTGTTAACTTCAAGACAAAATTGGCATGTTACTACGTTTTTTTAACTTTCATGATAGATCGGAGTCAAATAAAACTTTCGGATATTAGGCACTCTTCTGCATGTATTTTTAAAGTGTACGTTATAAAAAAAACTGGGCTAGCTCACAAGCCGCCGAGCTAGGCATGGGGTGCCAGCATATTGTTTTTTTTTTTAGATTGTCCAGAGTATTCTCCTACTCGAATAGTAAAAAACTCATCTTCTGGGACATTGTCAAGTACCGTAACAGGAACCTCTCCCAATAATTTTTTTTCTTACACACCATCTTAAAAATCAAACCAAAAACATGATGTTTGAGGTGTCCAAATCTTTTCTATTTGAAGTAACATTTGTTGGTAAATTGTTCAAATTCTGGTGAGCTGGTTTTTCGTCAATTCAAACCGGCCACTTTATAGTGGGCTGGCCCAAGAACGATGATCGCAGCTTCTATATAAATACGGAAATACCGCACGACGACGTTTCCGTTGGTCGTCTTTTGTTCCCCATCCTTACCTTCCCAACTTGCCCTTCCTTTCCCTCTTGGGTTCCTCAGGTACGTACATCTCTATGAGTTCTCCTTAGTAGCGATACAAACCCTACTTCGACCTCATTTTTGCTTCGCAAATCTGATCGATTTTTATGCTTACTCCGCTTTCTTTTTTTAATTGACATTTCACAGGAATCACCTGGCAATTCTTCGAAATTTTGATGCGTGCCCCTGTTGCTTCTGATCAGTATTCAAACTTGATTTGTTGTTTCTCCTAGTCAGTGATTTCTTTGGGGGAAAGCTGGAGGATGAATTGAGGCGTATTGGGTAGGGGTCTAGAGTTGAGTTGTCAAGTTTGGTGGATCATGGACGGTAATAAGGATGAAGCTCATAGGTGTATTCGCATCGCTGAGGAGGCGATTGCAACAGGGAACAAAGAGCGTGCCCTAAAATTTATCAAAATTGCACAGCGGCTGAATAACAATCTGTCAGTGGATGAGTTACTTACCATGTGTTCTAGCCTTGGTTCTCAATCATCTACGCCTTCTAGGGATGAAAACGGTGTCCATCAGATTAAAAGGGAGAACAGTTCAAAACGAAGTGATGATGGATTGAATGGGGAGAGAAATTATACAGAAGAACATGTTCAGTTGATTAGGGAGATCAAGGGGAAGAACGATTATTATGCCATTCTTGGTGTGGAGAAGACTTGTTCTGTTGAGGAGATTAGGCGGGCTTATAGGAAATTGTCATTGAAAGTTCATCCTGATAAGAATAAGGCACCGGGTTCTGAAGAGGCATTTAAGAAGGTATCCAAGGCTTTCAAGTGTTTAAGTGATGATGGTTCAAGGAGGCAGTATGATCAGACAGGGCTGGTCGAGGAGTTTGAATACAACCAGCAGCACAATGTTAGGCGTAGAAGAGGAAGGACAACTACACGTGACTTTTTTAATGATGACATTGATCCTGATGAGATATTTAGGGCATTCTTTGGAGAAGCTGATTTGTTTGGGAGGGCTCATGTTTACCGGACAAGGGGAATGGGCGGTCACCAGCGGCAAGAATTTCGAGGCGGAGGGCTCAATGTTATGCTCCTTCTGCAAATTGTACCGTTCTTGATAGTATTTCTTCTTGCATACTTGCCATTTTCCGAACCCGACTATTCTTTGCATAAGAGTTACTCATATCAGATTCTCAAGACAACAGAGAAGTATGGGACTCAGTTTTTTGTGAAATCTGAATCATTTGAAGCCAAATATCCACGAGGAAGTGCTGCCCGTGCAAACATTGAAGGCAATGTGATACATGATCACAAGAACTTGCTTCGTCGCTACTGTCAAATAGAACTCCAGAGGCGTAGTTGGAATAGGAATCTACCAACTCCTCACTGTGAAAAGCTTCAGAAGCTTGGCGTAGCTTGAAGGTAACACTTTTTTCCTCTTTCTTTACCCATGTAAAGGTTATGTAGTTTTTTTTTTTTTTTTAATGGAATAAATATTCTTTTCTTTTACTTTCTCTTTCATTATGCATACACCTTCGTGCTGTTAAAAGACCTCTTCTTCCGCTTCCCTTTTCCGGTTTTGACACTATTAGATTTGCGTTGCATGTTACTGCTTTGATCAATTAATTTGAAAAAATCAGAGGCAAATTTTCTGGCAATGGAATTTTATGGCTTTTATTGTTTTGTCCTGTAGAAGTGGAAATGGAGTTTTCAAACCTGTCTGTAATCAAGTTTCGTGAGTGAAAGTGGTCACCAATCTTCGCTTCGAATGGTGAATTACATGTGTTTTTGGCTCATGCTCCTGTAGTGTGTTTTACTCTCCAATACCGAGGATTTTCCTTTTTATGTGTGGGGGTGGGGGGGTTGGACATTTTGTATAGTTCATGTGCTTGGAGCTTCGTTTGAACTCAATTTCTAATTGCCACTTGTCACTAATAACCACTCGGCGGTACTTTGGTTCTCTTCGTTTCTCTATGGATTGTCGCGTTTACCCCTTACAACTCCGCATTCCATTTCCACACATCCACGAAAATGTTTTTAAGTGCTGGTGATGCATCGTTCAGGATGGCATTGGTATTTGGCATAAACAACCATGTAGTAGTGCTTTTGCTATGAATTCTCTTTCTGTTGTTTCCATGATTTGATTGCCTGGCATGCCAAAATTAACTGTTTACTTTCTACAATTCTCTCCTTCCAGTATAGGTATGCTTATGTGCAAATGGGTAGTTAAAATGGTTACTTGGATTAGTCTCCATTTGGCTCAATGAAGCATTCTCAAATGCTGAGCTTTTTGCGCGCATGTAATTCTTCAGGGCATTGAAGATAGCTATTACCACGGCTATGTGATACGTCGATAGCTGGTCGAGTACCTTTTTCTTGCTTTAAGGATAGTCTTTAGTAAATATGCTTAAAAGGGTGTTTGTTGTTATGAGGAATAGTAATAGTAAATGAGGTTGTCTGTTGGCTACCAATGAATAATAAGTCAGTCATAGCTTTCAGTGGCCTGCAAATCTATTTGAGAGGGAGGCAGGGAGACTGAGCAGGAGACCCAGATGTAAAGGCTTTGTCATTTTGGTGATAGAGTTCTTGAAGGCAATGGCTTGTGTTAAATAGACGAGAAGCTTGTTAAAGCGTAATAGGCTGAGATTGAAGTCAGGATTCCATGGCTTGAGGAAGCTTTGCTAAACTCATTTGACTTGCATTGTTGAATTAAACACGTCAATTTGCCCTTCCTGGATGGCAGGAGGATGTTTCTGAGCCTGTGATTTTTAATGAGCTTGGGACCCAAATAGATAGCGTTTTAATGAAAAGGAACACCCCCCCCCCCAGTGGATGCCGTGATAGATAGCGTTTTAATTTGTGCGATGAACAGGAACACCCCCCCCCCCAAAAAAAAAAGCTAGTGCCATGTGAGGTGACGTCAATTACAGAACCTAAAATTATTTCCTTAAATGAAAAACTGTGTGTGGCATTAAAAAAATTATTTTTGCCAGAGCATTGAAAAAAATAAACAGTTATAAGATCAATGATGATAATTTGAGAAGAGGATGAAAACTTAAATTATCTGGTGGCTTTTAATTGTTAATGTTAACTTCTGTGAAATCTACCCCCACCCCTCGCCCCAAGTCACCATGTACTAAGAGAGAATTTAACAGTGTTTTAAGTATGTGAAAGAAGTTTGTTTATAAAGTTTTTCAAACACTCCCTAAAGGGTGAGGATATTATATGGAAATCATGATTGATTTATGAATAATAAAGCATTTGATGCGTCTCAAGTCTTTCAACTATGCTTACGGTTTTATTGAAAATCTGATGAAAAGGATCTGAATAATTGCCTGTGGTTGTTACAAATACGGTAAAGCGGATAAAGTGGGTGCAAATTTTCAATTTTTATAAATGGGATGTCATGGATTGGAGCACACTTGTAATATCAAGTTATTAGTGACTGTTCTTTTAATTAAAAGAATTATTAATTAATTCCAGTTAAACCAGGTTTTTTTTTTACAAGTGAAACCAAGTTTTTTTTTTTGGGTACTAAAAAATTTCAGATAAGTTAGGTCTTAGGGGCTCGTGAGGGTTAGAACATATCTTTTGACTCAAAAAGTACTTACAGAAATATTTACGGATCGCTCACTAATAAAATTTTCACATCAGTAACGGGATTTAAACTCATAATTTTATAGGTTGAGCTGATTTTTTATTAACTGAATGAGCTTGTCTATAAGTGAAATCAAGTTGAGTCAAAAAAAAAAAAAAGCGAAAAAGACAAAGAGGGCCTAGGCTCAAGATTGGGAGTGTGAGCTGTGAACTAGTTGGGCTAGACCGGTTCCTGGTTCCAAAAAGCATAATTTTCTTTCTTTCTTTCTTTTCAAAAAGTTGTTAATTTTGAGAAAGTGTTTGAATGTTACCTAATTCTTCGTTTTGTTTAACCAGAACACAAAAAAAAAAAAAAAATTCTTCGTTTGTAAAACATGTTACATATCAGTTCAGGACGTCAAACCCTCTTACCAAACCTGGAATAAGTATGATTCTAAATGGAAGCAACTGAGATGAAAATACATATGAAATTCCGATCTATTTTTCTTTTTGAAAGGGGGGGGGGGGAAAAAAAGCCCAGGGAAACAACTAAACTTCAAGTTAGTACACTTCGAAGTTTCAGGGTACACGCCAATGTTTTCTTATTTTGATGCTTATGTCTGTGTTTTGGTATAGATATTTTACCAACACGTTGAAATAAATAATCATACATCTGAAATATCTATGAATTAAACCCAAAAGAAATCTTTAAATTTTATTTCAAAACAACATTTTTCATTTAATTTAACGTGACTTGTAGCTGGACCTAGTTTTAGATTAGATTAAAATAGAATGGTTGGGAAAAAGAAGATGAGATTAAAATGAGGTCAAAATATTCGAAGTGTGAAACCAATTTAGACGGTGAATCAAAGAATTATAGAGCGGAGCATTGAAGTTTGAAAAATCACGTCCTTGTTCCTAGCAATAACAACGAGACACTTGTTACATGGTTCCAAGACAAACTTGTACCAACTATTTTTCTCTAAGCGTGTCTTCAATGACAAATGATGCAGTCATCATCACCAGGTGCGGCCACAAGGAATAATGTACTGTTTCCCTCACGCAAAGGCATCTCCCACTGGAAGGCCACTCAAGAAGTGACTTAAAAGAAAATAGTAACACATAAAAACGCCAAGAAAAATAATTGATGACATATTTGGAATAATTTATAAACACATCCTCAATTATAATTTACAGAATGCGTGATAAATATATAAGAAAAGTTTTATGTTAACTTACATAAAATGTGTTTATAGGTATTTATAAACATAATTTCAAACAAATGATTTCAAGAGGGTTTGATTTAGCGGAGAATACTAGTTTCTCATGATATGATAAACCAATATTTAAATTTTAGTTGAAAGAGACGAAATTGTAAAGATATATTAGAAAAAATGACTAATTAGTTAAAATATCAGTTCAGGATGTCAAACCCTCTTACCAGACCTGGAATAAGTATGATTCTAAACGGAAGCAATTGAGATGAAAATACATATGAAACTTCCGATCTATTTTTCTTTTTGAAAGAAAAAAAAAAAGCCCAGGGAAACAACTAAACTTCGAGTTAGTACACTTCGAAGTTTCAGTGTACACGCCAATGTTTTCTTATTTTGATGCTTATGTCTGTGTTTTGGTATAGATATTTTACCAACACGTTGAAATAAATAATCATACATCTGAAATATCTATAAATTAAACCCAAAAGAAATCTTTAAATTTTATTTCAAAACAACATTTTTCATTTAATTTAACGTGACTTGTAGCTGGACCTAGTTTTAGATTAGATTAAAATAGAATGGTTGGGAAAAAGAAGATGAGATTAAAATGTGGTCAAAATATTTCAAGTGTGAAACCAATTTAGGGCTTGTTTGGATTGACTTATAAGTAGCTTTTCAAACGTGATTTACGAAATACGAGGTAAGTATGTGAGGAGAGTTTTGTCTCGGCTTACGTGAACTTGCTTAAAAGCCCGTTTTGAACGGAGCTCCAAACAAACCCTTAGACGGTGAATCAAAGAATTACAGAGCGGAGCATGGAAGTTTGAAAAATCACGTCCTTGTTCCTTAGCAATAACAACAAGACACTTGTTACATGGTTCCAAGACAAACTTGTACCAACAATTTTTCTCCAAACATGTCTTCAATGACGAATGATGTGGTCATCATCACCAGGTGCGGCCACAAGGAATAATGTACTGTTTCCCTCACGCAAAGGCATCTCCCACTGGAAGGCCACTCAAGAAGTGACTTAAAAGAAAACAGTAACACATAAAAACGCCAAGAAAAATAATTGATGACATATTTGGAATAATTTATAAACACATCCTCAATTATAATTTACAGAATGCGTGATAAGTATATAAAAAAAGTTTTATATTGACTTACATAAAATGTGTTTATAGGTATTTATAAACATAATTCCAAACAAATGATTTCAAGAGGGTTTGATTTAGCGGAAAATACTAGTTTCTCATGACATGATAAACCAATATTTAAATTTTAGTAATTGTAAAGATATATTATAAAAAATGACTAATTAGTTAATATAAGAAATAAAATATGTTAGATTCTTAAATTTAAAATTGAAATCAACTTCTTAACTAATTCTTATATGGAGAGGAAAAAAGAGGTATAGATTGATGAAACGACTCAACAAGGCCTTTTATTTTTACTACTCCATTCGAACGGACCTTATTATAAGTATTCGTGTTTGATTGTTAATGTTATATAATTTGTTTAAAGTGTTAATCTTTTATTTAACTAATTATAAAATTTTTTTAACTGATTAAACAAACTTCTCTAAGTAACTTTTACAAAAGATAATTATCAAATTTTACAAAAGAAAAGCGCTGTCTATTACCTGAAACGCAAAATTTTTAGAAAAAAGTGTTAAAAAAAATTAGATCTATATTAAGGTCACATCACTAAATGACACAAAGACAGCAGTACATGACGTTGAATCAAAATAAAAAAATAACATTAATTCATAATAAAAAAAACCTAAAATGCAAATTATAATAAAAACATAAATTTTATTTAATTTTATTTTTTTACAATAATTTTAGTTTTTAATTCCAACAAAAGGACAACCCGTGTTATCATTCTCATTATTGTTATCATTCTATGGAATAATTATTCCATTAAGCATCCGCTCGTGAATAAGCAGAAGGGAAAGCAACTCTACCAATAAACAACAAAATATTATTTAAGCAAACGGTCCATTTTATTCTGATAGGTCAACACTCTCTCTGTTGTGCCACGAGCTCACAGTTGTCGACAACTTTCCCCTGTTCCCACTCCCACCTTGTGAACATTGAAGCTGATGTTATGCATGTGTTGTGTCTGAATATATATATATATATATATATATATCAGTTTCCAAGACAAGAACCCAGAAAGCAATCAGAGAAGAATTTGAGGAAGAAGTAATCCATCAGGAAACGTGACTAATAGCAACCATAAAAACAACATATCTGTGAAACTGATTGGAACTGGCAACGGCCCTTTTTATCTCAGGGCTGTGTGAAGTATTAGAACGAGGTGTTTAAATTAAACTATTCAATCAAAGCACGGCATATGAATGGGAGTTTGTGAAAAGGGGTTAAATAATATATATAAAGACACTTACGTAAGCTGTGAAAAATCTCGACTTGTTATCTAATGAGAAAAAGATTAGAAGTTACACGAGAAGTTTTTTCTTCTAAAGTATTAAAGGTGGCCAAATGAGTCTTGGAATCTTGTTGGCACAGTCACGGGACGAAACTGCTTCTTTAGGAGTGTATAAGAGCTAACCTCCATTTCTTTGGAAGCTTACAAAAATACAATAACTCCCTTCCTTCCTTCCCTCTCTCTTCTTCTCATCTTCTACAGTCTCAAATTTCCCAACTTTCGAGTTTCGACAACGTCATGCCCAATAACTCCAACCCTCCTTCTTCTTCGTCTGTGATTTCATCTCTTGGGCATCATCATGATGAAATGCCTGACCGCAAATCCATATGGGTTCTTGTTTCAATCAACAAGTACATTCTTGAAGCCATAGAGAATGCAAGGAATGGCCTTAAACTGAGATGCAGCTCCAGATTGAGGATTCAAAAGCAAGAGTTCTTTGAATTCTCAGAGCAGCAAGTCCTGTCAAATCTGTACTGGGGTATTGACGCCATTGAAGCTGCAATTCAGACTCAAGAGCCTGAAGAAAGGTCCTTTCGGCTTAGTAATACAGAACAGATGCTTCAGGTCCCAGTCATGCTTGATGAAGAAGGGGTTACAGCCTCAATTCCAAATCGTGACTTGGTGTGTTGCTCATACTTTTGCCTCTCAGTGGTTCAGAAACTTCAAGGAGATGAGTGGCAAGCAGCCCTGCATTTTTTGCAAGCAGTACTGGTTTCTCCGAAGCTTGTTTGTACAGAATTTGCACCAAAGCTTTGCGAGACCCTTTTCCCTCTGGAAGGAGGTGTCAGTACGAGCATGCAATCTGATTCTACAAAGAGTACCGAAGAGGAGATCAATACAGCCATAAGGGAGATGGCAAGGAAATACAAGGAATGTTTGATGTATTATCGGGTCATGTTTTATGCGGAGACTCCATGGTGGCGCAGGTATTGTAGAGAACAATCGGTACATTCCGTCTGAGATTAATCCTTTCTTCCTGTACCATAAAGCAACTTGTCTTTAAGCGTTAATGATTGGAAACTAAGAGAAGACCATAAATGTTTTTTGTTTTGTTGCCTTTTTCTGACATGCAAGAGATTTAGATTTAGCAGCGCCAAGTGTCTGTACCAGCATAGACATTAATGTGCCCTCAGATATGAGTTGAAGAGAGAGAACTAAAATTGCAGCCTATCTTAACAAATTTCCCCTTTTTTTTGTCCACATAGGAAGATTCTTCCACTGCATTGGGCTTCATGGTTACCCATGAGCATTGCGAGTATACCTATGTGACTCAAAAACTAATATAGCTCCACAATCCTTGACTTCTATTAATGAACATTAAAATTCAAGATGTTGAACCCAAGTTTTTGACAGGATTGAGCCAAATATCAGCTGCGTATCTTCTAATTCAGTTCAAGATGCGTCTGGACTGCAACGTTGCAATATGGTAAGCCTTGTATTTATTTCCTTCATTAGCATGAATGAGTGACTTCAATTTTCACATACAGTGTAGTAAATGCCAAAGTGTTAAATGCATAATTTTTTTACCTTTGTGGCATCAATGCAATGCAGTATGATAAGGTGCATCCACTTGATATTCAAGAAGATGTTACAACTGTTATGACCGACAAGGTAAATGGATTAATGGATATTGCTAGAAGTAAAGATCATTGGAAAGCCTTATATCAGCTTCACAGGAAAAAACATAAAAGAATTTCAAGCATTGAGTGCTTCAAGGATATGTTGTTAGAAGCCCGGTCTAGCATCCCAACTTCTATAGATTCTTGCCATGAGGACTTAAGAGACAAAAGGGACTTGGTAATTATTTTTGAAGATTCATAGTTGACAAAAGAACTAGATATAATGTTTCTGCATATAAGCATGACACATAGATCGGAATTTACGGGTGCATACTAACTCATCTTTATTAAATCAGGTAAATTTTGATGACAGTAAATATCACATCAGAACTAGCATAACAAACGAAGATGAACCACCGGCAGAAACATCTGACTGGTTTGTCCCTCTAACAGATTCTTTCACAGTCTCTAATTTTTCTCGTGTTTATCTTCTAGAATTTAATTTATAGACCTTTACAGGAAGCTATATCAATGCTCCGGTTGGCAACAAGAACCTCAAAATCCATTGCATGAACGGTTAGATCAAAGAAAGATGGTTAGCGTTGACTCAAGAAGATTCTCCACTTCCATGAAAGGCATTGCTTCAACCATCTCAAAGTACATAGATGGAGAAAGCAATTATAATATTGATGATGAACTTATTGAAGAAGCTTTGCAGATCCAAAAATCACATCTCTCTGATCCAATAGCATTTATGTCTGCCCACAAACGCTGGATCAACCAAAGAAATTATGCAGAAAGTTCTGAAGGAAAATTGTTAAGATCATTAGACCTAGGAAGCTTGATGGAAGTAAGTTCACACTCCAGAAGATACTTCATCAGTGAACTATCAGGACCAACTGAAATGAAAAGTTCAGTTTTACATCATTCAGAAGCATTAGGAAATTGCGTTGAAGACTATACAGCAGATATTGCATCTTTTTATGAGTGTTTGTCTAATTCATCATGTAGCACGTATGGTTTCTTAAAGGATGTAATTTTGGATGAATTGCTATTTGCCATCTCTACCTCTAAAGAGGAAAGGGAAATAAGGGCGTCAGTTTCTATGCTGACAACTATTATTTCAAGGAACAAGTCAATCATAGAAGACATCAAGAAGAAAGGTTTGAAGTTGTATGATCTGGCAAGTGCTCTAAAACAAAATGTCCATGAGGCTGCAATTCTCATATATTTGATAAATCCATCTCCTATAGATATTAAAACACTGGAACTTTTACCAACTCTAATGGAGATTGTATGCAGTTCCCGTAGTTACAAGGGTAAGCCAGAGTCACTTCTGCTAACACCTCATGCAGCATCCCTGATGATCATTGAAGAACTAGTAACTTCATTTGATTATGCCACAAATAACATGCATCTGGCTGCTATCAGTTCTCCCCATGTTCTCAGTGGACTCCTTGAAGTTGCAAGAAACGATAATCTGAAAGAGGTTTTCTCTTTGATCATCATTCTTATAAAATGCATGCAGTTTGATTCACAGTGCAGAGAGTACATATCACAATTCACTCCTCTTGCCCCTTTTATTCAACTCCTGAAGACAGACAGCAACCGTGCCAAACACATGGCACTCGAATTTCTTCACGAAATCCTCTGCATACCTCGGTATAACTACTTAACCATATTCCATTTTTGCATTCTATCTTAATTGTTATGTGGAATAGGGCATCAGTACGCTTCCTCCTATATTTCAATAGAATTGAGATAAATATCATGCATCACTAAAAGATTTGATGCGTATGTATTATGGTGGGAAAAGAATTCCCGGAACCATAAACAAAAACACTTCTGAGGTTGCTTCCGTGGTGATGGATTAATCTTGAATGGAATCCCAAACAAGGTGTTAATATTCCAAGAACACACACACACACATATGCATATGAATGTGTTTGCTTTATCTTGTAATCTTTCATGCGGTTGCAAATTAAAACATAAAATTATCATGAGTCTAGTGTAAAACAAACCAATATCAGAGAGGCAGTGCACCCCATCTATTAGCTACAACAGAAATAATCATGCTTGGTTCATATATTCACTGTACACTTGGTCCTTGTCTCGGGAGAACATGGGAGAGCTTTCTGTGATTTAATTTTCCAATTTCTTTTCAGGTCTTCAGCTATTAGTCTGTTGCAGCGGATGCAAAAAGAAGGAGGTGCCAATGTTATTCAGATACTGATGCTGTGTCTCCATCAATTACAATCTGATCACCAACTCTTAGCTGCTAACATATTGCTTCAGTTAGATGCATTGGTAAGTTTTGAAATGAGGAAAATTAATCGGCCATATATTCCATTCATGAAACTCTGTCAACGGAAAATAGCTAAGTCATTATATAATAGTTCTATGACAACTCAATTGATTTGAAGAAACTATACATGTCCAAATATGGTGTTTCTATTCTCCTATATTGAAAGTCTGCATAGTTAAGTATAGCTTTATTAAGCGATAACTTCATAATATTGTTTAACATTAACCCATAAACATTTTTAAATTCTTCTCAGGAAACTTAGGTTTTGATATATGAGCCTCAAAATGATTCAAACAAGTTAACTCATGAAAACTGATGAGTGATTACTTGATAAATAGAAGTCATACAACTAGATTTACTGAACTTCAGATGGACTTCAAACTAATAAAGAGAACAAAATAACATGCAGAACTCTACCAGCAAAAGTGAGTTCGGAGAGGAAGTAGTGCAGGTGCTGCTCAGGGGATTGGCCTCTCAAGAAAGCTCAGAGCAGATATTATCTGCATCAATTCTATCAAATCTTGCTGGAACATATGGTTGGAACGGGGAATCATATACAGCAGCATGGTTGCTAAAAAAGACTGGTTTGACCTCTCCATATCCCCAGAATATGATAAGAAACTTCAACCGGTTGGATCAAAGCCTGCAGGTGAGCTGTCCAGAACAGTCATATTTGGGGAAGCTCAAACTATATAAATATTACAGGTCGTGTGCAGGAAATAATTTTGAAAATGAAGAAATTTCATAACATGCAGGATACAAGCACAAATTTATGGTGTAGTAAGATTGCCAAGTATATCATAAGCATTGGAGATTCAATCTTCCATGCTTTGGAGAAAGGGCTAAAAAGCAAAATAAAAAGACTTTCAAGAGACTGCCTTGTGACAATTGCATGGCTTGGATGTCAGATATCAAAAAGCCCAGACAGCGTAAGATATTCTGCATGCGAGATCTTGCTAAGTGAAATTGAGCAATTTTTACATCCGGGGATGGAGCTGGAAGATAGACTTTTAGCATGTCTGTGCATCTACAACTATACCTCTGGCAAAGGTAATAACCCTTGCATGATAATATCAACAAACAACCTTCATACATTATTAACTTGTGTAACAAATTGGTCAAAAAAGAAACTTGCAGAACATAAATATTGAAGATCGATAGGACATCTGTGACAGCTTTATTTGTTCATTTATTTTATGTTTAAAACCAAAAGCATTGCTTTGCCTTTCCCACCCAAATGGTACAACCTCCAGTGAGTATTAACTGAGAATTAAACTTAGCAAAAACATAATATCGTTGATTGTTTTTCCTCAACCCTGGTAAACAACATTTTTTGTAATGATCTTATACTCCATGATCTATAATGGTTCACCCTACTAAGTCAAATGGTCCTTTTCTTATAGGAATGCAAAAACTAATTCATTTCTCAGAAGGCGTGAAGGAATCATTACGACGCCTTTCAAATATAACCTGGATGGCTGAGGAATTGCATAGAGTAGCTGATTACTTGCTGCCAAACATATCAGTGAGTATTCACAAACATAATCGCAAGACTTGCATGCATTTCTAAATAAGAACTTACGAAGTTCTCCATGTGGTATTCATAAAAATTGATTTAGCAAAAGATCTGCACAATGTGCAGGAGATTATCATGCAGTGGCTATATATGGAAAAATGAACATAAAGATCTTTATGCCCCCTCTTCTTTTTCAATGCTTGTGTAAAAATAAATGATATCATGAGCTATTAATGATCTAAGGAGATTACCAACGTTCTTTAGTTTTTAGTAACTCATATAATGAGTATAGACTGACTAAACTGGACTAACCATATTCCGTTTGGAATATTGTCATATCATTATGACAATATGAGCAGCGTATTTCTTGTGTCCACACACAAATCCTTGAGGTTGGCCACAACTTTAGTGCAGCTGTTTGCTCCCTCATATTTTACAAAGGACTGCTTTTCAGTGGATATTCTGATGGATCAATCAAGGCACGAAACACTATTACATTATCAAATTTGAATGGTTTTGCATTTTTTATGCCCATAGATTATGTTTGCTAAATCATATTATAAACAGGTTTGGGATATCAGGGGGCAATCGGCCACTCTTGTATGGGACATTAAGGAGCACAAGAAGTCAGTCACATGCTTTTCGCTTCTTGAACCATCAGACAGCCTCTTAAGTGGATCTGCTGATAAAACCTTAAGGGTATGACTGAACTTCGCTCAAAGTCACCACTTTCTATCTCCACTTAGTCTTGTAACAGCAAGAATGAGCTGTTCATCTCAATATCACTTAAATCCAATAGGTCTGGAAAATGATCGAGAGGAAGTTGCAATGTACTGAAGTCATAGTCTTCAAGGAACCAATTCATCATTTACATGCACATGGACAAATGATTTTTGCGATCACTCAGGGCCAGGGAATCAAGGTGATGGTTCAAAACCCTCCATGATTTGTGAAATACACAGTCCATAATTCAGATATACCGAAAGGAATAAGAATTGTTATTGCCTACAGCAAGCAAATTTGGGACAATTACTATAGATTTTTTATTCCTCTTGTTCTTCTGCAGTTAGTGAGCGAATCAAGAGAAGTAAAAAGTACTTTTAAGGGTAAGCATGTAAAGTGCATGGCAGTGACTCAAGGAAGGATTTATGCTGGGTGCGCAGATTCAAGCTTACAGGTAAGCTTTCTGTTGTTGGACAGATATTTAGATTCCAATAGTACATAAGTATGACATAATGCCCTATTTTAGGAGTATTCCACAGCATACAATCGGGAACTAGAAATCAAAGCACCTACAAAGAGTTGGAGGAAACAAAACAAACCCATTCATTCAGTTGTTGCATATAGAGATTGGCTTTATACTGCAAGTAGGCATGTCGAAGGCTCAACATTCCAGGCAAGAGTAATAAATATGAACGTACAAGATTGTGTAGTTGCTTTTCACTGACATAAATGAAATGTCCAGGAATGGAAGAGAAAGGGGAAGCCTCAAATTTCCATTCTTACTGGCAGAGGAGATAGTGTCATTGCCATGGAAGTAGTGGAAGACTTCATATATGTAGTCACCAGCTCATTAGCAAATAACATTCAGGTAATCAAAAAGTACATGAATCTAAATTATCAGCTTCAGCACTGTATGTGTTGGGAAAATGGCAGTTATGCTCAGGTACTCAGTTTTGGCAAGACTTGACAGATATCTTAACTCCATTTTGGGTCATTTTGCACTGATTTTTCCTCAGAGAAAAATGCAAAGTATTGAGAATTATTAATACGCAATTCTATATGTACAAATCTAACCAGAAGCCAATGTTTGAACTGACTCGTATTAAATTCACCTCCCAAACCAGATATGGTTGAGAAGTTCCCAGAAGAAAGTAGGAAGAATATCAGCAGGAAGCAAGATAACAAGTCTCCTCTCTGCCAATGACATTATTCTTTGTGGTACTGAGATGGGACTAATCAAGGTACAAGCAAATCCATATATACTCTTTTTATTGCCTCTAGATAAAGCTTCTAAATATGAGGTTGACTAGTTCCTCGTTAACAGGGGTGGATCCCTCTGTAGGGAGAGCTTCAATTTACTGTCACTGCATGTTCATCATTCAAACTTAAACTCTTGGCAAATACTACAGCAAAAGACAGACGGCAAGCACAGGGCACATAAGGAATTGTTATTATATATCTGTAATTAATTTAGAGTGAAAACTATAGTGAACAGAAGAGTATCTTTTTGTACAGGAAATGGTAAATGCTGTAATTAGTAGTAAATATTTGTATTCCTTTCTGCTTACACTTCTCACTTACAGTCTTAGAATCAGCTTTAAGATGCTGAATCACGCAGAGCTGTATGTATGTGGATTCAGCATTTATTGAACCAAACTGTCTTGTAAAGAAGAAACCAATTGCTCGGAAAGACTATGCCAGCGACTGTTAGAATGAATAAATGGATTAAATTTGTCTACCTTCGTCTCAATCTCAATTCTCAAGACATTGTCTCCCCATTAGTTACTTTTTACGTTAAAATGATTGGAAGTGAGTTATTATCTGTTATAGTATTCTTTTTCCAGTTAAACATTTAATCAATGGATTGGATAATCTCCAAAGATGTGATGGTTTTTGATAGCATTGATGAGACTTGAAAGTTTTGGACTAATTGTGGCGGAAGAATTGGATTCAAAGTGACAAAGCAACATGTGCATAAGAGGGGGAGGCGAAAAAAGATGGCACAGTCTGTGCCAATTTATTTGTTACAAAGAAGACTTGCAGAAGGCAGATAAACGGGATTATAAGACAATGGATTATAATCAGGAGATCAGAACAAATTGTGAAAACAAGGACGCAACTTGTGAGTGTGGTACAAGTTTGAGAGCATGTGATTTTGTAGGGAAACGTAAAAACATTTTACATATGCAAGAAACAATTCATATGCTGCCATTTCAGTTGAACAGTTTTTATGTTAAGTACCATTAAATTGATCTGGCAGAAGGCGTGGCCCTGTAATGTAACAAAGTAAGTCGCTTGATTTGGTTTCCGTCAAATGGATTCTGAGAAGGAAATCATTAATAATATACTGTATGAGTATTTTGGTATGATGTGGATGTTTATTTGACTCATTTCTTCACATAGTATCATCAATTCTTCTTCTAGTTTTTTGAACATTTTTTTTGTTGTTGTTGCCAAGTCCAGTTTTTAAACATCTAACCGGTTAGAATCTCAAGCAAAAATGCACCTCACGTCGAGAAAATTTAGAGAGTTTTCAAACTGTAAATTTCTTCCGTTTTCTTTTTTGGGACTAACCAAATTTTCATATCAATTAGTATAAAGGAATCTCATAGGAAAAATTGTAATAAAACCTAAAAAAAGTAACATAATTATTATAAAATTTTAATGACAAATAAACAAGTTGTAATGACAAGTTTTAAAGTAAGAAATGATTATTTTTTACTTGTTATAATAATTTCTTTTGTGCAGGAGTCTATTACAATTCTCTCCATCTTATATCTTGTCAAAAAAAAAGAAGAAAGGAATCTTATATAACTAAAATGCTGATCCATGGCACGGGCAGGGCAAATTGCTGGCTCGTGTAACTACACAAGTTTGAGGTTGACTGACTGACTATATAAATTACAATTATTAATGAAATAGATATTTCAAATTTCAAAATATACTAATATAACCAAATAAAATACGTGATTTAAAAATAAGTTTTTTTTTTTTAACCTGAATGAAAAGTAAATTATATCTATCAAATCTTACCATTATTTATAATGGTTTGTTGTTGTAAGAATTTTATAATGATTAATATTATGTATATTAATTGATTTGGTTTTAAAACTGAGTTAAATAGCATCTTCATCAATTTTTCCAATAACACTTAATATTAAAAACTAATTTTTTCTGGTAAAAAATAATTTCTTAAAATAAATTTTGGGGCATCCAAGTATTTTTTTTTCAAAAATTATTTTAGAATAAAATATAAAAATATAATTTTAAATGCACTCACAGTTCACGCCATGCTCGGGTGCCGCCCGGCTGCACAAAAAGCCGGTGCATCTTTTCCAGCTTCGCTCAAACCCTCTCGTTCCCTCCTTTCTTATGCCTGCTCCTCCGTCGACGAACTATTGCGTGAAGCAGGAGTGCTGAAAACCTAGCAGTTGAGACCATCATTGAAGCTCAAAGATGCCGGGTCCCGCCGTAGAATTGGAGCCAGTGGAGCCACAGTCACTGAAGAAACTAAGTTTCAAGTCCCTTAAGCGTGCTCTCGATCTCTTCTCTCCCATCCATGGGCAGCTTGCTCCACCTGATGCCGAGAGGTGTCGATTCGTTTGTTTTAATCATTTCTTATTTTCAATTGTCATCTGGGTACTCTCCCAAGTCTTAACTGTTGAGCCTCGTTCGGAGTAATAACTGATTGATTATTCCCATTGATGTCTAGTCTTTGAATTGTGACTCTCTTATGTGTTCTTTTGAGTCCCCAGACGTCATTATTAACTATTTCTCCCCCCCTTCTTTTGTGTGGTGTTATGCAGCAAGAAAATTCGCATTAGCCACAAGGTTAGTAACTTTGGGATTTTTTTAATTCTGGACAGTCGCGTAGTGCTGCCTTTGAATATTTTAATATTCTTTTGAAATTTCTGACCTGCATCAAAAGAGTTATCTGGTTGGCACTAAAAGCGAATTTGTCGAGCTTAAGATATATCTGAGCAGCTTCCCCCCCCCCCCCCCGGGGGGGAAATTATTAAAACTTAGGTAAATGTTGAGTATGCTGGAATCAAAAGCACTACCACTCAACCTCGTCAACAATCTGATCACAGCCAACAGCCAGGGCCCTCTAATGCGCTTGCTCTTCCAGGTACCGTAACCTTAGTTATCATTTTGGTTTACAATATGCTTTCTCTAGCAAGAATGCTTTCTGAATTTAAAACGGAATAATTGACTTATAAATGATCATGATGTAGTTTTTCTATTGTGTTGTGTTTTTATTTGCAGTTCATTCATGGCTTCTTTGTTCTTTACTATTTGATTGCAAGATTTCTTTAACAAAAGAAATATAACTGTGCTTCTTATTGGATTTGATTGCAGAATATGTAGGTCAATTTTTTCTCTGAGAATTATTTTATTTGAATGAATATTTTTTTTAATGTTTGTTGAGTATGATTGTTGCATGCACTGAGAACCTTTAATACTTTGTTGTGAGGGAAAATAAGGTATAGGAATACAATGACCACTGAATTTACGTGTCAGGAACATCCCTCCCTCCATAGAAAGGAACAATAAAAGCTAATCTGAATGATGGAAATTGAGTTCTATTTTTTAAGGGGCTTTAGCACCCAAAGTTTAAGTTCCCCTCTGTCAACCTTTTTTCTTTCAATTTCTTAGTCTTCATCACATTTTGGTTCGTCCTCTTGAAATTCAGCCCTGTTTGTGGAACATTAATTGTAGAGGCTATTTATTAGGGCTCTAAATTTGGATATTTGTTCCTTATCATTGTTCATAGGTCCAGAAGATTCCAAAGGTCTCCAGAAAGTAGCAGCAAAAAATGCGTTGGTAGTTGGCCCATCTATGCCAGCTGCTTCATCGTACGTACTCCCTCTTGTCCCAGTGTTTTTCTGGGGTACATAGAAAATCATTATCTTTTGCATAGCTTTGTAATTTGTTATATGATCTGATTGTATGTGGTACTTAGATTATTCATTTTTGTGATTTCTGAAACAACTGCCTTTTATGGCTGCTGAGAATGATTATTTTTTGCGTAGTTTTGTGATTTGCTATCTAATCTGATTATATATGATATTCCAAAGTATCATATGAAGGGTCTGTTTGATTTACTTAAACTTGCAGAAACGTATTATTTTAAATTTTTATGTTGAGAATATTTTTTTAAGCAGTTTAAAGATTATATAACTTGGCTATGAAACATGTGAAGAATTCCCCCCCCCTCTTTGTGTGATAAACAGGATTAAACTCTCTTGAAATATGTGAAGAAATATTGAAATAATAAAACAAAGTTGCATGGTGCCCAATGAAGTGCGCGGAGAAAGTTGAAAGACTAAAAATTGTTGCAGGGTTTAAAGGAGCTACACTAGTCATGGCTTGTAAATAGTACAATTCCCTATATATTTTACATTTTATATTGATATTGATATTATTTGTTGTTAAAGAGTAGAATGATGATGTTGATTCATTGATGCATACTGACTCTTCCTTCTGTTGATTGCAACACACTCGGCACTCAGGTTTTTTGAAAAGATATTATCAAAGTTACATCATGCTTATGCTTTTGTTTCTCAACAGGAACGATCTTGGTTTTCCAGGCAAAAGTACAGCAGTTATTTCTGCCCCTGGCTCTTCTGAAAGGTATAAGCCCTTCCCATTTATTCTATAATTTAAGAGATTTAAGAATGATTTGCAATTCATAGTTATGGATGCTCATTTTATTCCCTGAAAAGAGTGTAATGTTTTAACTGTTGCTTGTGTTATTTATATTATGCTGTTTTCTCAATGCTTATGTTGCATTTTACGTTGTGGGATTTTAATTATATATGACTCATGATTGACATTTAGTGGCGTTATCTCATTTGACTAAATGGTTTTAGTTTGTGCGCTACACTACAGGAATTTATCAACATCTGCTTTAATGGAAAGAATACCAAGTAAATGGCCACGCCCTGTATGGCATGCACCATGGAAGAACTACAGGGTAAGCTTCTTACCCCTTAATCAGATCTTGATGGTTGAAGAGTAGTATTAGCGTTGTAGGCTTTTCTTCTTTAAATAAGTTGCTCAATTATATGCATAAAGGTCCAACTTGTTTTCTTCAAAACCTCTGTTACTACTAATCACTTCAAATTTCTAGAGAAGCTTGACAATTTTTAATACTTTTTTGTACTTGCATGCTTCTTTTTGTTTGTTCAATAATTATCTTTCCGTTGAGAATTTTTTCAAGGCACTGTGGTTAGACATAACATGTGAATTTCTGATTGAAAAATTTGCGTGTACTTTGTTAATTTACAATGGCATGTTGTATGTTGTGAGTTTAAGTTATAACTATTTTCTGAATTAATTTCAGTTTGGGGTTTGTATCGAGTGTGTTTCCATTTTGTAGGTTTGCCTGGTGAACTATCACAAAAGTCATTTAACAAATTGCAATTCAATTTCAAGGATGACTATTCTTACCCTCTTTCTTGACGAATTGGTTTCTATGTGTCACTTATGTATTGATTTGTTGATTATGACCATGTCTGACTGCATTATTTGTTGGTGGAGTCTTTCATTTGAATAATGAGCTTGATAAAATATCTGGTTTGTTTTGTATAGGTCATCAGTGGTCACTTGGGATGGGTGAGATCTATTGCTGTTGATCCCAGCAATACTTGGTTTTGTACTGGTTCCGCAGATCGAACCATCAAGGTATTTAATCCTGAAATGCATGTCATTGTTGATTTCAAGTATATCGAGATGAAAAGAGAGGAAAACCTAGTGAGCCTTGTTAATTTTGTGGACTTGGATATGGCATTTCTAATTTTCTATGCCTCCCTCTCTCCCATGGACTTTATTTGCACACCATTGACCTTAACATTCTAGGTCCTTCCCACTCCCCTCTTGAATACTTTTGCCTCTTACCGTTAAATTGAATTTCAAAATACAAGACGTAGCAAGTGGAGACGTTCATTGCGTTAGTCTATGACTTTGGATTCGACTGTAGTACTTAGGCTGATCCACTTTCAATGTTTAGAGGCCATCTTTGTGGTACACACTTCTTGATCATGTATGTATGCATTCTTTACATGACATGTATAAGTAACGCATAATCCCTAGATGTGTCAAATAGACTACCCTTCAAGGTTATTGGGAAAAAGAAATTACTTTTTTCCTGTTTTCTCCCTTCAAACAAGATTATGTCATAATAGTAGCCTGTAAAGCTAAGGTTTCAAAAGGAAAAAAAGGGCGTTATTCTATTGATCATGTGCACTTCTATTGAATTGAAGTCTCTATTTTACTATTTATTAATTTAAGAGTTGCCTATTATTTTCATTTCTCCCATATAAGGCTCAATAAACTTTCTCCCTTTTTTCCCATCCCAATTGTCAAAGCTATTCACCTGCATACAAGTTTGAAGTTAAATTTAATTTTCGGTCTTGCCTTTGCTCTAGCTTTATTGCCCTTTTTTCGACAAAAATGAAGAGTACTACCTCCCCCCCCCCCCCCTTTCTTTTTTCCTCTATTTGTAGTTTTCAAAAGTGGACATATAGATGTCTTCGTGCCTAGAATATTATGTACCCAGTCAAAAGGCAGTAGTTTTCTTTGCTAAATGTTCAGTTGGGCAGATATGGGATTTGGCAAGTGGTAGGCTAAAGCTTACATTAACAGGTCACATTGAACAAGTAAGAGGTAAGATTCTAACACTATTAATGCCAGTGGGGTCAACTATGGCAAGCCAGGTCAATAATAACCGTGGGCTTTGTATGTAGGCCTTGCTGTCAGCCAAAAACATACCTACATGTTTTCTGCTGGTGATGACAAACAAGTCAAATGCTGGGATCTTGAACAGAATAAGGTAAGTCGCATTTCCTCACCCTTTTTTTTTTCGTTGGAAATTTAGCAATTCTTTAAAGAATTGTAACTTTTTATGCATGTGGATTTTTGTTTAGGTTATCAGGTCTTATCATGGTCATCTAAGTGGTGTTTATTGCCTGGCTGTTCACCCCACGATAGACATTTTGCTTACTGGAGGACGTGATTCTGTTTGCCGAGTATGGACTTGTCAATATAGCACTTTATGAAAAGTTGTGATGGATGCCTTGCTTTCAGTTGAAATGTTATTAAACTAACTGTTCAATTTCTTATTTATTAAAATTAGAAAGATGATAAATATGTTCTGGTGCTTCAAACTTTTCAGGTCTGGGATATACGCAGTAAAATGCAAATTCATGCACTATCTGGTCATGACAACACTGTCTGCTCTGTATTCACCCGCTCAACAGTATGTAGCTTCTCATTCTGTTGTTATGTATCTATCAGCTATTATTATATATTTATCTTACGTATCTGTTGTTAGTCAGTCTTATAGAGGTGCTTTTCATATCATGCTTATCATGTTTACAGCATCCACAAGTCGTTACTGGTTCCCACGACACTACCATCAAATTCTGGGACCTTAGATATGGTAATTTATGCCCCACCCCCCCCCCCTTCCCAATTTATTTTTTCTTGTGTTTGTCTCCTCATTTTGCATCTGATGATTTGAGATGATGAATCATTGCAGGTAAAACAATGTTGACACTTACCAACCACAAAAAATCAGTTCGAGCAATGGCCCCACATCCCAAGGAGTATGTGTCCATATCTTCTGTTTGTTGCTTGTAAAGTGATGAAATGTGGTTGATTTTGTTTAAATAATGTATTCCTATTTATCTTCTCACCCACTTCCCTTCCTGTATCCTTCAGGCAGTGTTTTGCATCTGCATCAGCCGACAATATTAAGAAATTCAGCCTCCCAAAAGGAGAATTTTTACACAACATGCTGTGAGTGGTTTAGCTTGCAATCAGTATATATTATTATTGGTTTCTTGCTATTGTGTGGTCTGGGATCACTATGAAAAATCTGGTTGATTACAATTGCTATTTTGAAGATGATTTCTGGTTTTAATTAAGTTCCTCATTAGTAACATTTTAATTTTATGCAGCTCTCAGCAGAAAACTATCATCAATGCAATGGCTGTCAATGAGGAGGGTGTGATGGTCACTGGAGGTACTGACTTCCAACAGTGCTTCCTCAGTGTAGATTTTAATTTAATGAACTTGTTTATTTCAATAAACTTGTGTGCCGATTTGATGGCTTGTCAGTAGAGTCCAGAAAGGATGAATCTGTGCATAATGGCATAAATATCTGTTCATGCATTCATTGACTTGAAGCTTCTTTCCTTCTCGTTGAAGGTGACAACGGGAGTTTGTGGTTTTGGGATTGGAAGAGTGGTCACAATTTTCAGCAGGCGCAAACAATCGTACAACCTGGTATGTATATTTGTACACATTTGAAATCTATGAATAATATAATAATTTTAACAAGTCACATTATTATGAGCCATAAATAGTACTCCCTCTGGTCCTAAATGTAAGATCCATTTTGTAGTGGAAATGAGTTTTACATTTAGGACCTGAGAAGCATATAATGCACGGGACTTGCACTAGCAGTGTTTTAAAGGGGATGAAATTGAAAAGCGTTGTTACCAAGGAGTTAATATTACTGCAAACGATTCATATGATTCTGATATCTCTCATCAGGGCTCATTTAACATACAGAAGTAAAGAGAGAGGAAGGGAAATGACCTCTATATCCCTACCTTGGGGTGGGTGGGTTTTTTTTTTGGGGGGGGGGGTGTTTAAAAAAGACATTTTGTGTATTTGTGTGTGTTTAAAATAACTGATACTGGGTATCATGAATTAATCCAAATTGGATTGCCAGGGTCATTGGACAGTGAAGCTGGTATTTATGCAATGACCTACGATGTAACCGGCTCAAGGCTTATTACTTGTGAAGCTGACAAGACAGTTAAAATGTGGAGAGAAGACGAAACTGCAACACCTGAAACCCATCCGCTCAATTTTAGGCCCCCCAAAGAAATCCGCCGATTCTAACTCTGTTGTTGTGAGACTGTTCCTTATGTATCATCATCACTACCGTGTTTTGTAAGGACTTCTCAAAGTGCTTTTACTTGTAAGTTTCATTCCCTTGTTTTATTATTATTATTATTAATGTTATTCATAGCAGAGTTTTGTGGCGCACGCTAAAATGATTTACGTAAGCTGTCTCCTCCACTCACCCTTTTATTAATACCATTCACATATAGAGCGAACGAAGCTCGAGGAGGACTGCAATAAACCAGTTCCAACTGATCCTATATGAAAATGTGTTTTTTACTTTTTCCAATTCCTTGAACTAAAGGTGTGGTGTGATGCAGCCCACCGTCCTTCAAGATGGTTGTCTCAGCCAGGATGGCAAGGGAGTATAAAAATTTAGGTCAAAATGTCAGTTATTTTTGGAATGTCAGGTCAATTGTTCATAACTTCATCTCCTTTCAAAGCAAGGAAAGACAAATTCCTAATGTTAGGTAAAATTCCTAATTTCCTCATAATAATACAAAAGAAAAGGGAAGATAGTGAATCTCTTTAGTCTTTATTGGGGGGCCTAATTCCCTCCGAAGGAGTCTCATGATTAATAAGTTGCTGATGAATAACTGGGCCCCTAGTCATAATCAATCAAACCTGTCTATCACCAGAAGTCAGTTGTCTGGCTGCTTCCAGAAAAGGCCACAGTGCTTTTTCATTTTATTCATCAACTTTGCTGCTAGAACGATATTTTCACTTTGAAGTCTTCCTTCGTAAACTTTTCCCCCTTTTAATTGAGCTTTAGTATGTAAATCTCGCATAAACATTGTATGTTTTGTTCATATACGTATTTTAACAATTAATAATTTCCTATAAATTTCATATTTGTCTAAATAAATGTAACTAACCCCTATTTTAGGTTACGTATAATAATTATTTAAGAAATAATTACATGGAGTTCATTATTTACCATAACTATTTAGCAACGAACAAGAGCTTCTTTCAAATTTCGCACTCATCTAAATATAGGGGGTGTTTGGCTAACCTCAAAATCCTCCACATGTTTACTTTGTATATTATAAAAACACTTCTGAAACTATAATTTTGTTCTTACCTAAACACTCCCGTAGTCTAACGACTTTCTGCAAATTTTACCATACCCATTTGGCCAGCCTTGTTGCTCAACACTTCACATGGAAAAAATTGTGGGATCAAACCTTGAAATGGCATGGGGGTGGGTGTGTGTAATTGTGTGCAGGTTCCCTTTCTTGTAGGAAAGAGTTAGAATAATGGGGGGAAAAAAGATTTTATATATATACATATGTATGTAGAGAGAGAGAGTAAATCGTAAGTGTGACTTGTGCTGCATGCTTGCATGGAGTCTATATATCCAGTCGAGATCAAACGAAAATAGTCATCTTTTATTCTCTTAAGATAACTGGAAAAATTATGTAATCCTCATGGAGTCAGAATATTTGGTTTGTATTAATTTGGTGGGGGCTTTCTCTTGGATCTTATATATATATATATATATATATATTTGGACTAATAGGAATTGAGTCTAACAGAAAGAACTAGCTTCTCACAACATGCTTACATTTAATATTTGACAGTGTCTTAAATAAAAATGTCTCTAATAACAGAATACCTGGGCCTATTGAAAGAAAAGAAATTTTTTAAGGGATGGTCTGCTTCTTTTTTTTAAAAAAGAGACACTAATAATTTTTTTGAAACTTTTAATATCATTTTCTACGTTTATCCCCGTTAATTAGTGGTTGTTTTCATTGTATTAATTATCAACACATGGGCTGAGAAATTATTCAATCACTTTCTTTTCTAAATAAGAGTGTTTTTTTAAAAATAAATTATAATTTTTTATATATGTATTATCTTTAACTAATTTCTAATCAACTTTTTAATTTATATAAATCGGTTTTTTTTTGTATTTTATGAAAAAAATTGGAAGAAGGCTGGATAACGATCGAGCATTACTATTAATCTATTTTTGCTTGTGAGGAACATCGGACATAAGTGGTGCTACCCTCCCCAGGTAAAGCAGGTCCAGATCGTAGCTATCACCATAATGTCGCGTTTGGTATGGAGAAGTACACTACGGCCTTTAATTAATTCTTAATATAAAAACTGGTTAATTAATTTAAAAAGATTAAAAAAATTAGTTAAATTAGTTATTTGTAATAAATAAGTATTATCTTTTTTAAAACATCATTGCTAATCAAATATATTGGTTAGAACTACTATTATTATAAAGACTATTTTGAAAAAAAAATGGATAAATATGAGGGATAAGATAGATTGGAATCTTATATTCAGAATCAAAATAAAAGTCAAACAAGTCCTTATATTAAAGATTGGAGGTATTATTTTTTTAAGGCAGTGCAAGTAAAAATAGGATTAAAATTTATATTTAAAAATATACTACCTCCAGTTCTAATTATAAGACCTCATTTATAGATTATAAATGAGATTTTATCATTAGCACGGGAGGTATTATATATATTTATGCTTGGTATATTAATGGAAACCGAAAGTGGGTTTCTTGAATATAATAGAATATTATATATTATCATATTTACTTTGCTTCTGAATTCAATCAATTTTTTTTTAATTATAATCAGACTGTGAGTCTCAAGCTTTATGTGAGATCTAAGCCACACCGAAGGGGGGGGAGGGAATTTAAGCCATATTGTTTTTAAGTATTATATGTTTTAACTATTAAAAGACCTGAGTGAACAAAATAATAATCTATCAGGAGACTGAACAAATTTTCTTTTTGATTTTTTTAAATATTTTTTATTTAATTATGTAGGTCAATTTATTACCAAAAAATATTAAAGTAATTATTACTGTATAATTATTTGTAGGTTTGTTGTTTCCATATTTGTAAATAATTGTAGAATCAAAGTAAAATTTGCCTATGTTTGGCATAAGGGAAATGGAAGAGAGGAAAGAGGAAGAAAAATTTTAATAAGCTCAATCTAAAAAATTGAAGAAATGAGATTTTAAAATTTTAATAAAGTAAAGATGCAAGATAAAAAAAATAAAATTTAATTAAAAATTTTTAATCTCATTTTTTAACTTTTTAAATCAAGCTTATTAAAAATTTTTACTACTCCCTCTTACACAACACCCAAATGCCGTTCTTTCCTAATTCAAATATTTAAAACAAAAATTAAATGTGCGCCTTTAATCTATTGATGACTTTACATAATATTTTATTTTGGTTCTTTAATTTTATTACGTGTTTTTAGTCTTTTAATGTCAAAACCGTCAAAAACAATAGTGACAGTGAACATTTAAATATTGGCAAAATATTTTTAAATATTAATATCTTATATTTAAATTTTAAAATAATGATGGTCATTATAAAAAAGATCATGTGTGACTAACAATCCTAAAGTTAAGAGACTAAAAAGATAATTTTTATAATTAAAAAATAAAATTAAAGTTTTGTATAAAGTTAGAGGATGAAATAGGCATTTTTATTCATAGTTCTCCTATTATTTTGTCATATGCTATTATAGTAATAACAAATACCACATAATAATTTATTTTATTAGATAATTAAATTTTCAGATGACATTGATAATTTAAACATTTCGGCATCGGGAGTGAAATTTTGACAATAATAATTTATTAATATTTTCATATCACTCACATTTGGAACAAAAATTCTGTTGACGGATGAGAAGGTGACAAGCATGAGTCTTGGAATCATTGCCCCCAAAAATGCTGAACCTGCAAAATTAAAGCAAGATGCACCTTCCACGCTCTTGGAGCGATTATATGGCCAAATTTCATGCAAGTGAATTCAAAGCACCTTCTTCTCCCTCCCTCTCTCTCATCTTCCCTGCGTAAACAAACTCTCTCCTTTTCTCTTTTCTTCTTTCTTCCGTCAGTTACGATTACGAACTCTTGAAACTGCGTGGTCCTTCGAGCATTTGAGCCTTTCGCCTACCATAATTCACGCAAGAGATCAGTCAATCGCCTATACGAAACTGAGACGTTGTTGGGCAGTGTTTGTGGCTGTGAGAGATATGACTTCTGAGCTCATTCACAGAGCCCAAACAAGCGAGACCGGAGAACCCACCTTGGATTCACCACGTTCTTCGGATTTTCGAGGAAAACCCGCACACCCAGTTTCCCGAATGTTTCGAGCGAGAGTTCCTTTCTTCCTTATCGGCGTTGCTATCGCCACCTGCTTCTTCCACTTCTTCTCTCATTCCCCATCGCCGATTCCTGACTTGCTCGTCGATTCCGAGTTGGCTCTGCCGACTCGGCGAGTGCTGCTCGAGGAAGCTGCGACGCATCCTCGGGGTAAAACCGGGAAGGTGCCTATGGGGCTGAGAGGAAAGAGGAAGAGGATTCTGGTGACCGGTGGAGCCGGCTTCGTCGGGAGCCACCTGGTGGACCGTCTGATCGACCGAGGCGATAGCGTCATCGTCATTGATAATTTCTTTACGGGCAGGAAAGAGAATTTGATTCACCACTTTGGAAACCCCAACTTCGAGCTCATTCGACACGACGTCGTTCAACCCATCCTCTTGGAGGTTGACCAGATCTACCATTTGGCTTGTCCTGCTTCCCCTGTTCATTATAAGTTCAATCCCGTCAAGACCATCATATCCTTTATCTACAATTCGCCTCTTGTTATGATTAATATTATTATCATTATTACGATCTCTTGTTTAATTGGTCATCATATGAATTCAATGTAACAAGAGTTCTCCCTAGGATTTTTATAATATAACATGGCACAGAAATGCTGAGGAATGCCCCTGATTTTGGATATTTTTAACAATCTTATTTAAACATACCAAGATATGAAAATCATTAAGTTTCCATTTTAACTCTGCCTTTTAGCTTATTGGTATAATGTCAGAGTGGTTAGCTTCATTCTCTCTTTGACTTATCCTAGTTGATTGGCAATTGTTTAGTCCTTGATTCATATCTATTGTTTTTGGCGTGTTCTGGAGTCCACAAGACCAATGTGGTGGGCACACTGAATATGTTGGGACTGGCAAAGAGGGTTGGTGCTCGCTTTTTGCTAACTAGCACCAGTGAGGTGTATGGTGATCCTCTTCAACACCCTCAGGCTGAGACCTATTGGGGCAACGTTAATCCTATTGGTACCCACACTATATCTATAAGAGATTTAAAATCTTGTGTCACTCTTTCAAGCTTCAAAATCTCA